GGATAGAGCTGAAACTGTAAAATTTTAAATTGCTAGGACTATTGGCGTCTGGGATTGAGATATGGACAGTTTTTGAAATGAGTACTAAAATTATACGAAAAGTACTAAATGACACTAAATTTGGTATTGAGTGAATATATAGAGCTGGAACCCCAAAATTTGATATTGAGGTCTCTGTTGGCATCTGAAATTGGATATAAAGGTCACCGTTGGTTTCTAGGGTTTACATAAGTAGACTTAAATAATTTGGTACTAAAAAAATGTATATGGTTCCATTGTGCAATGGTTTTTTCTATATCATTCTAAATAAATTCCTAATATTCTTTCCCTAAAAGAAAAATTTTAATAATATATAAAACCTGGAAATTTAGTACGATGTAAGAAGTTTTGATGAACAAATTTTGTCGAAATGAACAAATTGTGGATTTTGAGTTCTAAGAAGTAAAAAAGTAGAAAAGTTCCGGGCCGGGCCGAACTTTTAATAGCCCCAGTAACTGAAAGGAATTTTCAAAATTAAAAAAAAAATCAGTTGAAAATTGCGGTTATACGTTTAAAAACTCCGAATATCAGGCGTTAGGGTATATGGGCCATAGAAAAACGTTGACCTTTACAACCAAAGAAGGTGGTGCCTGTTACGAACGGCAAATGCCAAGTTTGAGATAATTCTGTTAGAAAACGTGGATATCATCAAAATACCGAATATTGGGAGGTAGTCTTATATTGTGCAGGAAATTTCTGTCACAGGAGGTAGCAGTCATTACAATCTCTAATTCAGGTAAAAACTGTAAAACAAATCAAAAATACGAAAATATTTGGAGGTACAGTTATTTGGAGTCTATAATAAAACTTGGACCTATATGTACAGTTCTCTACAAGTACCTTTCGTTTATACTGAAAACAAATGCCCAAAATTTCATGTTTTGAAATTGTGACAAAAACACCAAAAAAAAAACCTTTAATCTGCCGATACAGTTATATGTGGCATATACCCAAATATGAACCTATATAGCCCATATTCGATACCAAAAGTCCTGACCTAAAACACATCTGAGTAAAATTTTGTCATCCTACTTCATTTCATTCGGAAGCTAGAGTGATTTCCACAGACGGACATCGCTAAATCGACATATAATTTTATGGTGATCAAGAATATATAAATTTAGTTGGGTCTAAAATGCATACTGCGAGGCGTTTTAAACGGAAGGACAAAGATACAAAAGATGTATAAAAATTCATTTCTTGCCATCACTATCTGGAACTTTCTTACTTACTTCCTTTGAGGAATTCAAATGATTATTGATCAGCACAATAAATTTAAGCGATTCTGAGAAAAGTTCACATGATCCGAATCTCCAAAGAGCAACTTAAAGATATTTAGGAGGTGCCAATTCATCCCAGGGCGAAGGGATCAGGGCTCTATAATTGATATGCCATTACAAACCAACAACTCATGATCTTGGTGACATTTATCTTCAAACAAGATAGCACCGCTTCCCACCCATCCCATCAATCAATGGATTTATAGATTCGATGAGCAGATAATTTCATATTCGTTCTGTTCACCAAGATGGTGTGATATAACACCGTAAGTCTTTTTATTATGGACAATGAGGACACACCTGCTTCTATTCAGACCATCTGACCCGAAATCGCGGCCAACATTTGATTAATATTCAAAAAACTTCCAAACAATGTTCTATCAACTTATAATAAACATTCCCCATTCAATTTTCTTCTTTTTTTAAGGAAGAACACCTTATGTGAATCTTGCTTCGTGTTCTAGTTTTCCATATAAACAAATAATTTGTTACTTTCTGAAATTATAACTTTAAATGCAAATATGTCAAATTAAATGCGTATCAGACGTTCTCCTCTTATCCACCAATTTTACAGCCCAACCCTCGTATCGGGGCTGCAACAAATCTCCCACAATTTTAAATCTAACCAAAATTATCTAATAACAAATATTTAACGTCATATGAATTATCATCTTTCATATACCTATTTCTTTTAAGAGTAAAACGTTTTTTGCTACAATGAATGCTTTGTTGTGGTTTTGTGTTGCTGTTTGTTTTTAGCTAAATACAGCGAGATAATTTAGTGCAAAAGCAATTTGTCAAATATACAAAACATTAAGATCTTGAATGCGACGAAATAATTGAATTCTGTGGTTGAGAACTGATGTGTGTCGTCGACGACTGGGAACCAACAACCCCCTAGAAAACCAAACAATGTTAAACACAACCAATGTTCTCTCTCTCTCTCTCTGTGTTTTCTCATCATTGTTCTGATGAGTATTAAATTTGTTATTCTTAACGGCGACAAACAGAGGAATTAAAACAAAAGATGAATTCGGTGTTTGAGCAACCGTGAAGAGTTTTATTTAATTTTTGTGTACTCTATGGCAGGGATGGAAGTTGTGGATCGAATTTACATTTGTAAAATATAACTCTTGTACGTGTATCTGCAGATATTGTTTAAAATCATGGTTGATCATATTATGTAGTTAGTAACTTTTGTTTTAGGCTCATAATTAAGGATTTATATCATTATATCTTTCATATTTCGTCAACAAATTACATTATAGACCCTCATTTTTGTTACGGAAACCATTTTCGCTACATTTGTTTGCACTTTTACCCGTTAGGTTGCTGCATTTTGTTTGAAAAACTCTTTCAAAGAATAATATTTATTCCCGCTACGTATATTAAACTATTTTTATACCCTCTACCATTCTATGAAGGGTATATTAACATAGCCCCTATATAAAAATTCCTCCAGATATTAGGTATTTGGATGATTTTAGCGACATTATTAATCGGAATTGTTTCAAATTTCGTGAAAATTATGACAAAAAATTGCTTATAAAAGAACATGTCTTAGTATAGCCCCCATATAAGGGGTTTCATTTGAGAGGTATTTTTTCAACGGAATTTTTATGAAATTTTTTAAGTTCCTTCAAAATGGTGGAGGGTATTTAAAGATGATTTGTGTAAAGTATTTGCGACACATGAAAATTGATGTAGGTTTTTTATTTCTGTTTAAATGTCTGATCAGTATAAATTTGAAAGTTTTCCACATTACTGCTAACAATGTCCAGAATTAGACTAATGCATAAATCCAGTTTTATGCTATTGTCAAATCTAAAAATTAATTAAACCAGCAGGGAAAGGTCAAAAGTCGGGCGGGACCGACTATATGATACCTTAAATCAAAATGTTTATTTAGTAGATCATGCTTATTTAGTAGGCTGATATTAGCCATTTAGTGCACAATAAACCTGGCATCGGAAAATATATATATGGGAGCTAAATCCTAATCTGGTCTGATCTCGATAAAATTTGACAGAGGTATTTTTGAGTCCCAAACAGCTGGTGTATTTTGTGTTTTTTCACTGTCCAAAATCTTCAGTTTGGTCTATAATTTAACCATGAATCGTCTTACAAACAACGCAAAATAATATGTTATGTCTTAAGAAAGTTCATTGAGCGCTTCTTCCACCAAAGCGGCTATTCGGGCTATGGTGACCAAATTTCGCGCCAAATTTGCATTTTTGGACATTAAAGTACTACCAAGCTTACGTAGAGTACAAACCGAAGAAAATATCACAGCTGTATCAGTCTGTGATGACCATCAATTATTGATTCGTCGCCGTACACGGCACTCCTTTACTCTACTCTAAAAAAATTTTGCGGAAGGGTTTAAATAAATTAAATTCGACCGACCTACCTCAACGCAGAATTTTTGGTGAATGGGTTCGTGGAAAGTTGGCCGAAGATTTACTTTTTTTTATCGAAAACTGTTATTCAGCAAAGAAGCTAATTTTTGGCTGAATTGGAACGTAAATAAACAGAATTGTGGATTTCTGAGTATAGATCAGCCAAAAGGATTGTAAAAGCGACCAATGTACCCAGAAAAAGCTCCATTTTAGTGGGATTTCTTGGCTGGTGGCATCATGGAATCGTATTTCTTCAATGATGCGAATCTTAACGTTACTGTGAATGTTGAGCTTTCAGTACTGAAGTGAAATAATAAATTTCTGAATTTTGTGTTTTTTAAAACTTTCTCTATAGCGCTTTTTATTATACCCTCCACCCTGAAAAGGTGGGGTCGTCGTAGACCCCATAAAGTATAATAAAGTATAATCCGCATAAAATTCGATTCAACGATGTCCGTCTGTCTGTCTGTTGAAATCAATATACAGCCCATATTACAGTTGGGGTAGAGGTTTAAAATTCGGCACAACAATTCAACAGTTGGAGGAGCATTGTATGTTTAGGTCCACATTGTATGTATAGGTTCGTATAGCCCTCATATAACTATACCTCCCGATATTCGATAGTTTGATGATTTTCGCAACATTTTTCCACGGATTTGTCAAAAATTTGTATTTGTAGGTCATAATAGGCTCTATCTCTTGTGATGGAACATTGTATGTATAGGACCACGTTTTTGTATAGCCCCCATGTAACGGTACCTCAAGATACTCATTATTTTGATGATTTTTACCACATTTTTCCACGGATTTGTTAAAAAATTGGTATATATAGGTCCCCGTTTTGGTATAGCCCCAATATAACGGTGGGGCTATACCAACCCCAAGGTGTTTTAAAGACAGCAGCGTCTGACCCATCATGAAAATGTATGTTAAATATTTCCTTTTATGTGCCTTAGCAATTAAAACATCCCATCCCTGGGTGCCATGTAACATGTTACAACATTTGATGAGAAGAGTATTTATGGTGAGTGATGGATGATGATGCGTCTTGTAAATTTTCTACTCTCATTGTTCTGTTAAGGGTTTCTCTCTCTGCTTTCTCTCATTGTTTACCTCAGAATGAACGGAGCACAAAAAAGGAATCAGACGCACACTCGAATTGTGTGATGTTTTGTTGTTGTTCAAACTGTTTTAATAGGGGGCCTGTGTGGTGTGGTGGGTTGTTTTGCTTTGTTTTTATTATTTTGCTAGGCTGATTGCCAGTCAGTCCTCTTTCTTTCTCTCTGTATTTCACTCTCTCGTATATCTGCCGTTGCATGGTAATTATTTTTGTTTGGGTACTCACTTGGTTTTGGCAGTTTGTTGGCAGCGGTGAGCGCGTTAAATACACACAATTGTTGAAAAAGCGGCGCGGCGGTCTAAAGAAGTTCTGAATTTGAAAGAAAGAATATTCGAAATAATTAAATATTTTTGTTTTGTGTGTCCATAGAATATTTTTGTTGTCAAATTATTGTGGTTATTATTTTTGTTTCGTATCGAATGTGATGACAAATTTGTGTGAAAACAAGAGAATGATTTGAATTATTAAAAAATATAGAAAAGAAAAATGCAAAATAAAATTTTATGATATAAAAATTCGTGTATGAAAAGTTCTCAAAAAGTGAGAAAAAATAGAATTTGTGTGAAAAGAAGAGGTGGAGTGAAGTAAAGGGAAAAAATTGCCAGTTTACCTTGAAATCCTTGGAGATAACATTAATTTAGTGGCCATTAAAATTGTCTGCCGTGAATGAGAAGAACATTTCTGCTGCAGGAAAGTAGTGCAACGAACCCTTGAAAGTGGCAATTTCCAACCACTTGGACAGCAACATTGAAAGGCGTCTAACATTACAGTTGTTCAGAATTTGTTTTCCTTGTTGCTGTTGTTAAGTAGTAAAGTAGCAACAACAACCACACGGATCGAGACGACACTGAATTTGCTCATCCCCTGCAACAAGGTTTGGGCTTGATGTTGGAGGGTTATTTTTTTTTTTTGCTACAACTCGGCTCAATTTCCAATTTTCAAAACAGCATTGCCTGCCTTTGTTTTCCTAACCAATATATAAACAACAACCACCACCATCGCCTTCACCACCCTGTCACCCGTCAAGCAGATAGTGCAAGCCAAACCACTCCTTGTCTGGCCAAAGGGAGTTCCAACAACGACAACAAAAACAAGTAACGGGAATAACTTGTTTCTGTAATTGTTGCATGCAGTGGGTATTTCTTGGCAAGGATAGCAGCCGTAACGGTTTGGGAAAACCCCACAACAACAACACACAAAGAAAACTGGTTATACACAGGGATACGGGTGAATCATCATCATCATCAACTCAATTATTGGGGAAGAGCGACAAAAATAACTGGGATCAATAAATTCTTTGGATTTTGTCAAGCCACCACTGCCAGACAGCCGTACCAAAACTACCACCAATACCAAAAAAAAAAAAAAAAAACAGCAACAACAACAACAATAAACATCCAATAATTTTCTTTCCCTCAATCCCAGAAGCCATTACGGCCAAGAACACCATCACAACGGCTTCAATTACATCGAAATCACTGTCGAAATCGTCCTCATCGAATTCGTTGAGTATTCGACAGAAATTTGAGGATTTATTAAATTTGGTGAAATATGATTTGAAGAAATCACCATCCACACCCGCCGCCTACGCGTGGGCCACATTTCCCAAACGTTATCGGGGCAAGGAGCAACGTCAACCCTGCAACGTCTTCGCCACACATCATCCAACGTCAGCAACAGCACCACGTCGCAGTCGTCATCGTTTACAGCCGGGCGGATTTGCAGATAAACGATTTCAAATGGTAAACAAATCCAGACTTGTCCAACTAACAATCGATAAATGTTGTGTGCCAAATGTTGTAAATGACAAAGAAAGCAAATACTGTGACTAACAAAAAATTGAAACAATTCTTTAAAAATATTTTTTGCAAATTTCCATAACAGCAGCAATAATAAAAAAATAGTAATAACATTATATTCAAAACAAGTTAAAATGTATCAGCCGGTTTTGCCGACAGATGTATATCCTCAGCCAATGTTCGATTATTTAAATATATATTTGACTTATGTTTGATTATTCAAATGTTTGAACCTCTATGGAGTAGGTTCCGAAGGAATGGGCCAACATTGTCTACTTCGTATCGGACCTAAATAAATATGATATAAATATTGCGACGTGCCAGATTTGGACTATAATGGTGACTTTTTTCACTTTAATGAGATATGTTATAATTATACCCTACACCACAAGGTGGTCAGGGTATTATGTCTTTGCGCATTTGTTTGTAACAGGCAAAAGGAAACGAGATAGACCCATAGTTCCTTTTGATGATCTGCATAGAATCACATTTTGAGTCGATTTATGCAATCCCGTCCGTCCGTCTGTCCATGAATTTTTGTAAACAAAGTACAATTCGCATTTATTGCCCTATTCAGATGAAATTTTGTAAAAATCATTAGTTTGGCCCAAGGACGAACCCTATTGAAATTGGAGATAATCGATCAAAATTTAGATATAGCTCCCATATATATCTTCGTCCGATTTGCCTTTTATTGTTCACCAAACGTGTAATATCAGTCCGAATATTATGGAATTTTGCACATACAACCAGATTAGGCCTGAAAATAAGTATGCCAAATTTGATCGAAATCGGTTCAGATATAGCTTTAGCTCCCATATATATTGTTCATCCGATTTGTTATTTTTGTCCTCCGCAGCCGTAATATGCACTCTGTAACAACAATATTTGGGGAAATATATCAAATACAGCTCAGAAATACATTCTCTAAATTTTATCGAGATTGGTTCAGATTTGGATATAGCTCCCATATATAACTTCGTCCGATTTACCTTTTATTGTGCACCAAACGTCTAATATTTGCCCAAATATGATGGAATTTGCCACATACGACCGAATTGAGTCTAGAAGCTAGTATGTCAAATTTGGTGAAGATCGGATCAGATATAGCTATAGCTCCCATATAGATTGTTCATCCGATTTGTTGTATTTGTTACCCACAGCCGTAATATGCACACCTTAACAACGATATTCAGGGAAATATATCAAATACAGCTCAGAAATATCTTTGCCAAATTTGATCGAGATCGGTTCCGATTTGGATATAGCTCCCATATATATTTTTATCCGATTTCAAATTAATTGTGCATCAAATGGGCAATACAAGTCCGAATTTAAAATATACAACTGCTTCGGCATATTTAGTCCTTTGAACTTTAAATTATAATTATGATCATAGCGTGTATGTTTGAATTCTCCCATAAAAACTTTTAATTGTTATGCACAGCTCTAAGAAATTAGCAAAGTGGTGTAGGGTATCATAAAGTTGGAACCGCCCGACTTTAAGACTTTCTTTACTGGTTTTTAAAAATGTTAAAATGTGTGTATTTGAATTCTGTAACTCAGTTTTTGAGTTACCGACAAAAATCGGTAAAATTAAAATTCTTATGATTTCGGTAATTTACGATTTTATTCGGTAAGTTAACGACGAAATCAAAGTAGTCACCAATGTTGTCAACTTTAACTTCTTTTTTATATCAAAATTTTGGGTTTCAAAGTTATCGATTTTTGTCTGTAACTACCGAAACGAGTTAGAGAATCCCACTACAGATATATTCGACCGAAGTATTCCATTTTCATAATTCATCTAATACAGATAAAAATATTGGTATGGTCAAAATTACAAGAAAATCAAACAGACAATTTTCTGTCATAGGCTATAGTATCCATTACGAACATAGAATACTAAATTTGAAAAAATTCCGGTGAACAATGTCGCTAAAATCATCAAAATACCGAATATCAGGAGGTACCACTATATGGGGGTTATACGAAGACCTGGACCTGCACGAACAATTTTTTGTCATAGACTGTAGTATCCATTACGAACTTCAATTGCCAAATTTGAGACAATTCTGGTGAATAATGCCGCTTAAATCATTAAAATATCGAAAATAGGGAGGTACCATTATATGGGGGCTATACCAAAACGTGGACCTACATGGCCCATTTTCAATACCAAAAGACCTGCAAACATAATATACATTTGAGTACAATTTTATCAACCTACTTCATTTCGTTCGGAAGCTAGAGTGATTTCCACAGACGGACAGACAGACACACAGACAGGGCTAAATCGTCTTAGAATTTTACTCTGATCCAGAATATACGCTCCATACTATGTACTCGTATGGTGTAGGATATAAAAACGGAACATTAGAGATAATTCTTTATTTTGTGCCTAATAGAGATTCAGATGAGGTGTGAGACAGCCATCGATGCCACAAGACTAAAAATTGAATACATTGGCAGTCTTTTTCTGGTACTTTCGTAAAAGAACAGAATCCTTTATGGCTACCAAGTTTTAAGTTAAGGCCGAAATGAAGCTAAGTCAACTTACACTTCTTTGTTGCTTTACGAGAAAGACAGCCAATGACTTGTGCCAGAAAAAAATACTTTTAAAAATTCTTCAAATAGATCACAAAACAGAATTTGTATTAGACCAAATACCGGATCGAAGTTAGAAGAAAGGACGGGAAAATTAAACGGAAAATCCGCTTTTTTCGGACCATAATAATACCTTTCAGGCGTGATTTCCTGAGCTGGAACAACTCTAGTTTAATAAAAACTCTTCGACTCTTTGCAGAGGTAGGTATTTTTGCCTTGATTCCGGGAAACTATTTTTTTTTTCGTGGGATACAGATCTGGGACGCCAGATTTTGGACTGGTTTCAAGATCCGGGCTAGACCCGGATCCACTTACCCTATATGGACAATATAAGTATCGTTGGAAAGCTTATGAAAATAAATATTCAACAAGTTTCACGGTGGATTAATTTTTAAGTAGTTCGGAATATATATTTAAATTATAGAATTTTTTGGACCTGCATTTTTTATAAAACCCCAAAAAAGTTGAAAAAAGGCCCATAGTGGCGGTCAACAAAATTGATGCTAAATATGCTACCTTTCCAAAATGCTACAATTTGTGCTAATACCTTTTTCGGGTCCAGAGATATGGGTCTTTCCTCCCGCATAACCAAGGTAACTTTCCAATGATACCTATATTGCCTATATCGGGTAAGTGAATCCGTGTCTAGTCGGCGTCTTGAACCCGGGTGTTTGGGTCAAAAATTGGGGGTCCCGGGTCCGTCCCCCAAGAAAAAAAATAGTTTACGAGATCAGGGTAAAAATACCTACCACTGGAAAATTTAAAAAAAAAATTGAAGCGTTTTTACTAAACTAGAGTTAGGCCTTTAAATCATATGGTTTGTTCCAAAACAGCAAGGATGTAAAACTTTGATTTTCCCTTAATGACATCGGAAAAAAGGGGAAACTGGTAGATTTTTGTAGGTCCTGGAACAGAGCAATAATTAGCTGAGAAATATCTAAACAGCTGGTTTCAATTAGGGATCTCTAGGTGGATGTATCGATTATTTTACAACCCCAACTTTAGGGGTGTTCACACATTTTTTGGTGTTCTCAGATAACTTACAAATTACTGTCCATCTAAATGGATCAACCCGCATTTACATGTACCCGAAGCAAGTCATACATTTTGCAGGTCCAAAAGGAGTAGAAGGATTTTTGTAGATCTTCTATAGGATATAATTGTACTCCTTAATAAATAAAAAATCCTTAAAAGGTCTTTACAAATGCTTTATACTCTTCAAATACTGGACACTTTAAGAAACTCATTTTGACCTTTTGAACTTTTAATGTTGCCAAAGATTTTCTACCAAATCTTTATTTTTTATGACCACAATTTATAATGAGCTCTTTCCTCATACTTCAGATCTCAACTTTATGCGTTTTTTCTCCATTATGGTTGACGAAATAATTCCACTACCTTTAAATACCCAAAAACCTAAATACATATCTCTCTACTCGATCTCTAAGCGCTGCGTTCAGCCATCAGAATAATAGCAAATAATAATGAATAATGTCCAAGCCGAGAGATTTTAATTGAGCTGAACTCGATTATGGTACAACTTTTGTTTTTGTTGTTTTATAAATTTTTGGTTTTTTTTTTCCAAATAATTCCATAATGGTTTATACTCTATGTACGAAACTGGACAACAACAAAAGCCGCAAACATAATTTGTTCTTTCTTTTTGGGGTTTTTTATTTTTTATTTTATTATTTGCTGACATTTGCTATATTTAGGTTATACGTTTAACTATTTGTTGTTATGGTTGTTGTCGTTGTGGATTAATAAAAAAAGAATATTCTAAACTTTCTGTTTTTTGTAGTTGTTGTTGATTTAAGTGACCAAAAGAGAATTTTTTTGATGGCGTTTCACTTTCTTTTTGGAATGGAGGGGGACCTTATTTGTTCTCCAAATAAGAACCCTTAGGCTTTCTATATTTTTATTAATTTGTGTTTCCAACAGTGAGCTGTAAAGAGTTGGTCCATGGTATGCAAAACCGATAAGATCGGGTGTTTGACTTTTTTGGGGATATTGTAACAAAAACTAAAATACGTCAATCGCTGTATTCCATTTGGCTCGTATAAAAGTAAAAATTAATCAAACATCGATAACAATACAGATGAAATTAAATTGAATTGAAATGGGCAAGGTGGATATCATCACCAAGGTGATCAATACCATCTTTTAGGATTATCGGATACAATTTGTGGTAGCTGCGAAAGAGGAAACCTATACAGGGTGAGATGAAAAAACTGCAACCAACTTCAGACTGCTGTCACATCTAAGCCACTCGTCCGACAGCTGTTAAAATTATTCCAATGACAACTCATTATATTGTTTACAAGCGTACAAAAGCA